CTTAATGCTCCCCCTCACCCCCCCGCGTTGGAATTTCGAAAAATCCTTTCTTAGTGTGCGTTTCCATGACGTACCCTAACTGTGTACCAAATTTCACCTCTTTAGGTTAAGCGGTTTGCTCTGGGCGATGATGAATCAGTGAATGAATGAGTGAGTCAGTCAGGACAAGCAATTTTATATATTTAGATTAACTGTAATATATTTATCAATTTTCATACAATCCATCGTTTTAAATGAAGTGTAATATTTTTGTTGTAATATGTATTAAATTGTAATATGTAGTGTAATAAAAGCATTTTATATTTTTAGCATAATATAAAGTGTAAAATGTTTCTATTATATCAGTACCGTATCAGTTTCTCAATATCATAATAAACTGTTTATTATTGGAAGGTTTTTTGAATATAAATAACTGAATAAACCTTTACACTTTAATAGACTAATAACTTTTGAGTGGTAGATGTATAGACTTATTACGTAACACTGTACACTCAGTTTATAGCTCATCTCACATGCGAGATATTAATACAGAATGGAGGAGAAACAGAAGAGTAACCCATTCGATTCAGCTGGTGTTTTCTCTCGTGCGTTTTTCTGGTATGTAAAATTATTTAAACGTTTTAATAATTGTTTAGTAAACTCTTTAATAATATGACTTTAGTTCTGAGTTAAAGATGCAATTTTTTTTCAAAAAAAAAAAACAAAAGAAAAGTATAGGAATCGGTCAAAAATGATCCCCCTTAATATTTTTACATTTTTTGGACTCAGGACAACTTTAAACGTCGAAAAATGCAAAAAAACTTGGAGGGTTCATCTTGTATGTATGGATGTTAGCAGAGCCGTAACTAGCCATTCCTGTGCCCCGTGCAAGAATTTGCATTTAGGCCCCTTAATTTTATTTGGTTTTGGGAAAATACAGTAGAGCCTCGATTATCCGACCCCCGATTAACCGTCACCTCGGTTAACCGACCGTCCTAGTCGGCAAATTTCAAAATGTCCGCTAGTGATGTGGCGCTACAATATTTGGCTATGTCTTGGCTACTTTAATATTATTTTTGCGTGTTTTAGCTGGCAACACTCATTCGACCATGAAAGGGAACCAGTATTTAAACGAGGCTTAATTTTCTAATTTTTAACGATACAATAGCGACGATTATTATTTTTTAAAAAATTTTTGTTAGGCTTAACATCGATGAAAATTCAACTCGAAGTAGGTTAATAGCGATATACTAATATACTAATTACATGGGATATAATAATATACTACACTAATAATGGATTTTTTCATACTTTTCGGTTATCCGACTTTTCAATTATCCGACCAACCCCAGTCCCTAATTGAGTCGGATAATCGAGGCTCTACTGTAATAAAACAAATACATTACAATAGATTTTTAATAAGATTTATTTTAATTGAATTTTTCTGGCTTTCATTTCAGCAAATTCATTAATTACATTATCATAATTAATATTTTTAACGATATTGTATTCTATTGAAATAATAGAAATATTGGATAATCGTTCTCGTCCGATAGTTGACCATAAAAATTTTTTTTATTAATTTTAACTTGCTAAAACTTCTCTCGCACAAAGCAATAGAAACAGGAAGAGTTAGAAATATTCGAAGAGCGATATTGATATTTGTGTCAGATTCAATTAAACCAAAATCATGAAGAGCCTGTAGAATATTAAGCGGAGATGCAGTTTCTATATTTTGTATAGGAGTCGTTACTTCAAAATTAAAACTTTTAATTTCACTTGTGAATTCGTACTTTTTAAAATCTTTGCTATATTTAATAGCGAGATCTGCATCCGAATTTTTTAAATCGGCAAACTCATGCTTTGTAAAAACCAGCCACAGCGAAAGCAAAAATCGTCATAGATACTATGATACGCTTCTTGTCTAGTCTTCTGAATGGCTTGTGAGCACTAAAATTGGCTTTACTTTACTGCTAGACTTATTACACCACCACAGGACATCAAATTAGACTTAGAAAAACACTGTTTTATTTTTAGAATGCATTTGGGACATGGAGTCTCTCATCAGCTTTTTTCTACAAAAAATATTAGAAGTTAACAATTTTTATAAAAAGACGGTGATTGACAGAAATGAACAAAGAATGTGGACTTACATTTGACATGTGGATTCGATACGTTAAACATTAATTAGAAGACTAAGCACACGTGGTGGTGTAATAAGTCTAGCGGTAAAATAAAGCCAATTTTAGTGCTCACAAGCCATTTGTCACAGATAGTTTTCATATTTTCATAACGCCAATCTATTTGACATAATAGAGTGTCAAGAACACTGTAAATTTATATTTTAAATAATTTTTCGGGTGTCAAGTAACTTCCTTCATCTGGTGTTTTATCTATTTCCATTATCAACTCTTTTTTTTCGCTTATTAAGAAATCCCTTTTCTATACTTTTTGGTTTGTTTTAAGAATATGATCAATAATAGCATCTGTTAATATTGTTGGCCATAAAGCTATATCATTTATTACTTCTATGTATCTATATATATCGAAGCGTTTTTCTGGACTATTTCTATCTTCTGAGTTTTCGCAATCCCTTTTTTCGGTAGCATTTTAAAGACTGTGAAATTTCTCAAGGAGATTTGATTATTAAGATAATAAATGCTATTAAATTGTGGTTATTAATAGCCGAGGGAGATATAAAGGGGATTGTGTGTCATACCGCTAATACTCAAAAACGAGTCCCGGTACGATTAAAGGAGTTATATGGTGTGGTAGCCTTCTATCACCCATCCACGAAGAAAGTTCTTGTTTTTACCTGAAGGGCGTGACGTTGAAGATATAAAGGCTGGAAGTTTCGCCCTCCTGGAGGTTTTGCAAGCAAACCCCATTTATATTTAGTATTTGAACAACCATAGTAATTGTTTTATAATACCTGCAGCTGAGAATAATGAGAATTGCCGAGAATCAAACGAACTGTTTTCAATTTGATCAACTTTCTGGAACGTTTACAATCGTTCTATAATCGAACCAATATGCAATAACAAATTCGAATTTAAAAAGGTTCGAACATTTGGTTAAAAAATCGAAATAGATAAAAATATTTATAACAATGTATGAAATGTTATCAATTTAATACCCCTAATTACTCAATGAAAATTAAACGTAGTTGTAAACGAAAAATCGCATGTAAAATAGTACAGTAGAAGCCGTTCTTCCGGTTATGCCTTAATCCTCTTCCTCTCCCCCTTGGGGGATTTTGAAAAATTCCTTCTTAGTGTGCGTTTTCATGACGTACCCTAACTGTGTACCAAATTTTACCTCTTTAGGTTCAGCGGTTTGCTCTGGGCGATGATGAATTAATCAATCAGTGACTCAGTCAGTCAGGACAAGTAATTTTATATATTTAGATAAGTATTCATGCAGTAGAAAGATCGAAGTTTTTATAAGGAATTTAAGTTAAGATAAATTATTATGCCTTGCATAGTTATACTGTTATTTTTACTAAGTTTAATTATTTTTTCTGGGAAATGACAAAGCTATCATCTAAAATTTAGGTGATAGCTGGCTATTCATATAATAAAATATATTTTTGCGTTGTAATGAAAATTTGTCATAAACACTGATGCATATATTATCTGTATATAAATTTTAATATGCGTACTTACAAATAACGAACGACGTAGTACGCATATTAATAATATTTCACACCTACATTTATAACGCTATTTTCGAAAAGAATTATTGGTATAACTGAAAAATGAGCTATAAAAATGAAAAAAATTATCGCTTTTTGAGTTATACGAAATTAATATCTTAATATAATACAGGTATACCTCGCCTTACGTCGTTAATTGGTTCCAGGAAAACGACGTAGGTCGAAAAACGACGTAAGTCGAATTTACTTGTCTCCGAATCTACTTGTCACTAGGCTAAACCATAAATTACTATTCCCAGTTCTGTATTTTATTTATTAATGCATTTTTAATAATATACGGTTAATAAGGATCTATTTTAAGCTTACAAACAAATTTTAGTTTTTAATATAGTACAGAAAAAAGTAATCTAAATTTACGAATGCATGTACTGTAAATACAGTACATACTTGTAAATGTATATATTTTAATATGATTTTATGTGCTTTAAACGCTTTTCTAGTGATATTACGACTTCAATATTTGTGGCGGACAGACGTAAAGTCGAATAAAATGACTTAAACTTGGCTTTTATTTTTCCGTATACTTTTTTGACAAACGACGTATAATCGGGAACGACGTAACTCGAAACGACGTAAGTCGAGGTATACCTGTATATAAATTTATAAGAAGAGAAAATATTTAACGCTACAAACTTCATTTAATTTAGGTTTTGAATTTGTCACAATAAAAATTCAGTTGTTCACAATTATCATTTGATAATTTAAATATCGCTTATTCACGTGGCAATTAATCTGGAATTTTTGAAGGATGTTTTGTTCTAAAAATGCCTATGAGATAAATACTTTTAAAATAACGTATTTATATTTTATAATGCCTCAACCATGATTTAAAATACCGAATAAAATATTTTGTTGATATTAAGTTAACGTTGTTTATATATGATCAGATTAAACTCGTCTTCATTGATCTTGTTCTTCTAGTAGTCGTGCCTCTATCTACACACAGACTCTTTTTCTCTTTATTTCTACATATACAGTAGAACCTCGATTATCCGGACCTTTATTATCCGGATTTTCGATTATCGGGATTGTTAACAAAAACAAAAAATTTACGAATATGCTGATTTTCACTTGGCGAATTACGACACTGTTTATGTACGTGATGGAATGCATAACTTTTTTTATTTCAACAACGTCTCACCCGGCACAGTGGCCATAAACTCTTAAATATATTAGACGTCGTAATAAAAGTATAACTTCTT